CGCATATTTGCATCAGACTTAATCTTTTTTTATTTTTTATGTAGATAAATATGTACAGAAACACGATCTAGTTAGGGTCGAATTAATTTTATAAATAAAGTTATTCATCATCGCCACCTTCGTCTCCGAATAAGGAACCAATAGTTGACATTTCACATGAGTCCGCAGAGAAATTTAAACCTCAAAGTCCTCAACAAGGGGATCTTGGAGTTGGTTCCATTTCTGTAGGAGTGGTCCACTGGCTAGCATCATGTGATGCATTGTAAACACTTAAGCCACAAAACACATTTTTAACTAATAACGATCATATATAATGGTCCACTAGATAATAATACCATGTAGTTTTTTACATCATTGAAAAATAATTAACATTAATAACTAATCTATCAACTCAAATTTTGAATTACCATCCGGAGTGCGTTTGTGTTGAGACTACTCGAAAACCAGGGAAATCGAAAGATGTACTTATGAAGCTAATCGAAAGATGGAGGAGGATGAACACCTATCTAGAACGTATTAGGAGTTGTATGTATTCGTGCTAGAAATATAGTCGAAAAGTTTGAAGCATACATAAAACTTCTCGGAAAATATTGAGATCAACTCCTGCCAATAACAGCTGATTCGAGATCGAAGACAATTATTTCGAGTTGAACAGTGTTCGAGATTTGGTGAAGTTGTGTGGGTGCTTATGATCATACAAAGACAGTTAGCGTCCAAGTCGAGAAGTTAGTATACGCGAAGAACGGTTATGGGAAGTTACACGTTAGAAGTCACATAATGAGCATAGTGGATAGCGGTTATCTCATAGTGGCCTACGTGCACGAGCGTCTGAGTGAGTTAAGCGTCATTGATTCACTCTATAAATTCAAGAAGCCTGCATTGTCACAAAGGTCGGAAAAACTCATACTTGAATAGAGCTCTGAAGCACTATCCGCCTGCGCATATGGCTTTCGTGCATGGAATCGTGTTTGAGTATGGTTGCTTCTTGACCACTTTTCTTTTTCCTTTCTAGGTTAGGAGTAATTTAGTCTTAGTGTTTCTTGTAATTACTTAATTTTTATTCATGTAATTTCTGATAACGTTGTAATGCTTGAAGACTATGAACCATGATTTGTCTAGGAATTATATCTATCGTTCACTCTGTTTATTTAAGCATCTACGTGCATGAACACTATTTTTTGATAATCGTTGATGAATATCTGGAAACTAGTGATTATTGAACTTCCCTCCTACGCTTTTAATTCTTAGATCAAATATCTAAATTGAAACTGTCGTAGTGCTAGTCCGAATATAAAGAATCCGTAAACAAATTCCACCGTAAACAGTTTGTAAACCAATGAATCATGTTTAAAACTTACAAGTTAGAGTTTTATGTGGATATGAAAATCACGTATTTAATGCCTTTCCGATCACACTTGGAAATAAAATCATCCTTTACCGAATTATGATTCCCAAACAACGTTATATATGTCTTAAGTCCAATAGGCATACAGAAAAATAAAACAAGATGAAGACAGGCACACCATTAACTATATATACAAGATACATATAAAAAAATCTCATATTTTGAAAATAAACCAATACTCTAAACACATATTTTGGGTGATAAAAAAGTGGTAGGAGGGAAAATGCTGCTGTGTAAGATGTCAATGACACTGACATATCAAAGATTATGAGAAGCAATGCGTCGCATTCATTGAGAAGATAAAACTTAACTTTGAATCTTTGCCCACTTGTATTAATATACACCAATGTTATTGTTTAATTAATAACTTTTGAAGTACAACTTTTTTTATACCTATAAGATTTTTTTAATTATAAAATAGATGTACAATATCTATTATTAAAAATAATGATTAATTTTTGTTATAAATCATGAGTGCAATGATATCACTTTTTTTAACCGTCTCACTTCATATAAAAATAAAGTAGTGTCTAGTTAGGAATAAAATAATAAAAACATGATTAATAAAAATTACTTAAACCATAAATACATAATAAAAATAAATTACGATAAAAGAACGTAGGTGTCAAACTCAAATTACATAACCTAACATTCGATAGATCCATGTTAACTTACATACGCATGTGCAATCTATTCATATTAGTAATGCAACTCTTGTATTCTAATATATGTGTGGTTATTACATGTATTTAAAATAGTGAGTATTTAAATATGAATATGGTGTAAATAAAATGCAGTGGCAAGAAGAGGAATTTAAATTAGTTGGACACTGACAGTAATCTCTAAAAAATATTAGTAAAGCATATTTAAATTTTGGGGCAAAATGTAGAGCACATTGAAATGGATTAGTTAGGAGTTGTTGGACTTATGGTGAAAGGGGCATAGATAAGCCACGTGGCACTCATGTATATGTCCCAAAGCTGCTAAGTCACATGCATATCATATTAAATTCCTTATCTATGGTTCAAAAAATTTCGAAACATTCCAAGTTTTTAATTGCTTTGCCTAGCTGTTACTCTTTGAAGTTTGAACATCGTTCCTTCCGCTACTCCTACTCTTTCTTCTGTCAGAGTGTTTATGGCGATAGAAATTTAAATTTGGATGTTCTCGATTCTTACGACTGGTACTTGAGCTTGAGCTTGACCTACCCTTCGCAATTCTACAACGATAATGTCTGAATTAGCAGTGCAGGAAAAGATTAATAGCAACAAAATCAAGGTTTTGAATTCATTGAATCAATCTTACATTTCCCATTCACATTAATGTTTTTTCCATACAGATCTAATTTAAAAGAATTTATTTATTTTATTTTATGTAAAATTCAATTCATATTATTTTATTTATTAATTATTTTTAGATTCAAATATTAAAATATCTTCTCTTAATTTAATGAAATAAATTAATTATAAACTTTTTAAAAGATATATAGTCATTAAGAGAAAAAACAACATTATTAATTTAGAGAGAGAAATAATAGAAATATACATTTTAATTGGTTAAAAGAAAAATAAACATTAATTAAAAAATGAAATATCAAATAATTTTTATTTTTATTTTTTAAATTTATAAATTTGATATATATATTAATAAATTTTAATTTAACTATTAAATCATTAAAAATAGTGTAAAATATAATTTTTTAAGTGAAATAAGTTTATCAAAATATATTTTTACTATAAATTTATCTTTCCTTTTATATATATATATATATATATATATATTATTTATAAGTACCCGTAAAATAAGGTAATATTTGTTCACATATGTGTGGGGGAAAATATTATTTAATATTTTAAAGAAATAAATTAAGTAAATGATTTTCTTATTAAAAATATAGAAATCATTTAATGTTACTTTTCAAAATAATTGATGACATTTAATAAAGCAAACATAATAAGTATTTCTTAAATAATATTTAAAAAATACTCATCAACATCACACTATGCATGTAATATGTTTAAGAAAACTAACTTATAAATTAATTGAAGATTTAAGGAGATGTACTAGAAGGAAAAAATTTTCATGTCCCGAAATGATTTTCAGGAATGATTAAATATATTTAATCGGTGATAAATATTTTTAAGAATGTTTACTTGAGAATCAAAATTTTTTAATACATTAACTAGATAACAAATTAAGTTAATGTAATATTTTTACAACAGTTAAATATTTTTTTTAACTCGATGATAAATTTTTATCTACCTATAGGAATAGTTTGGTGGAAATCATGTATAATAATAATAATATTTTTTTTGAGAAACCTAGTTTCTTAATAGTATTTTTTTTATATGATAAATCAAATGTGAAAAACTAACATTTCTAACTTCAATTCTTAAAAAAGTAAAAATATTTCAAGTATTAAACACTCCTTAAAAGTTAACTATAAGTTACAAATTGAGTAAAAAAAGTTAAAAACTTAATAAGTTAGTTGATTGAATTGAAAATATTTGGTAATATTGATAAATAATTTACAGCTAATCAATATAAAATGATATATTTATTCATTTGAGAATAATAATAAGAGAATATGAAAAATATTTTTTAAATTATAAATATATTTTTTTCAAATAAATTAACAAAGATATATTATATAAAAAGAAAGAGAATAAAAAGTTGAAAACTTATAAGTTCCTGGTTGGTAAAGTCACTCCATGCCTTTCCTTTAAATACATACATGTTAATAAAAATAGTGAACGGTTATTATGAGGTTCAAATAAAATACTTTTTTAATATTTAATTATTATTTTGCAACTTTATAGAATTAAAAATGTAAAAAATAATGTGTAAACGAAAAGAAGGAATCATCTCTCTCTCAATATATATAATTATAGATGATTTGTTTCAATTAATTTATAAAAAATAAGTTAAAAGTTTTTTAAAATAAGCTTTTTTTACTTGAATAAATTTATTTTAGTTAAACTAATTTATAAATCGGTGAGAGGGTTTAAAAGTTCGTAATTTTTTTTATAATAAAAATAATCTATATACGTTTTATTAAAGTTTTTGAACTGTTGAATTCAGAACCAATAATAAAAACTTGTTACATGTTCTTCCTTTGGAACCAAAACGAAAAGCGCCCTACAAAAGTCCACATGGCATAGGTACGTGCTAATTCAATTTCAACTTTTAAAGAACCCACCCTCCAACCAATTTGACAAAGTTAATGCTTAACCTAAACTGAACCACCAAACCACCCTTTAAGTTAATTCAAACAAAGGTGTAAACCAAATAATTGTAACAAAGGAGACAACATAAGGGTACGAAGGTAATTCAAAATTTAAACGACCAGATCTCACGAGCAATCTTGCTGTAAGTCTAAGATTACAAGTAAAAAACAAAAAACAAAAAACATCACTCATTCACTTGTCACTTGATGATGAACTGGCTTTAACTTTTGAGTCAATGGTCAACTGCTTAATGGCACTGAGCCACAAATATTATATTACTATTTATTCCAAAACAGTTTTTTTATTTTTTTATTTTTTTTATTTTTTATTTTAATCTTTCCCTTATTCCTGCATTGTTTCAGCAAGATTTTAAATTGCCACATCCCGCTCTCATTGTCTTCCTTTGTCCCAAGAAAGACTTGAAACTCTCTCTTTCTCTCTCTTTCTCTGTCTGTGAGCTCCTATCTCTCTTCAATGGGGGTGCTGGAGCTTGCAAGATAGACAGACCCAGGTCATTCTTTCTGCATTACTACTAAAACAAACCAACTAAGTCTCTCTTTTTTCAGTTGTGTTTTACAATGTCATGTATTTGATTATGAGGGTCTCTTATGTGGGTAATGCTGCTTTTTGGGTTTCTTATCTTTATGCTGGGTTTCTTGTTTCTTAGAGAATGTCCTAAAACAGAATGCATTAATAAAAAAAGATGAGTTTTTTATTTTATTTTTATTTTTATTGTTTTTCTTTGAGGAACAGTTTGGATGAAATAAAGTGAGGGTAACAGAGGATACATTTGTCTGATTTTCAATTTTCAAAAGGGAAAGCCCAAATGAGGTCAAAAGCAATACTCGGAAGATTTTATTTCTTATCCACATTTTGATTAATGACTGGCCTGGTTTATCCTAAAACCTTTAAAATTTTGTGATGTTATCTTTTTGTAATATTTTGTAAACCTCGAAAATTTTGTAATGTTGATTTACATTGACAAAGATAGTTTAATTTTTTCTCTCTAAACTATGTTGCTGAGAAATTATTGCTGGGTTTCTATTTATTCCCTACTAGCTGTTCAAAACTTTGGCGTGGACTCTATATATGAATGCTTCAATTTGCATACCCTTCTTTCTTTCTTTTCTTCTTTTCTTCAACAATTGTATCTTTCATTGGATTGGAATGCCAGATGCTATTTTTTCCCCCCAACATTTCTTTTATGATGAGCCATTCTTGTTGGCAAGTTAAGAAACTTAACAGAAGTTTCCCCTAAAAATAGAGTTCACGAAACAAATTGAGTCAGTGTGATGAAAACATAAATTAGGACCTGATCTCATATGTTAGCCATTGTATAAAACCTTTTAACATTCTTTCCCCAAGTAGACCTTATATTGACCTGTTCAACTGCAAAGGGGAAAAAGTGATTTGTGGGCTGTGTTTGTGCCTTTGTTACTATAGAGTTGTTATGCTTAATGTTGTTTAGGCTAAGTTGGACTCTGAATGTCATTCAAATAAGTTTGCTGCTAATTTAGGTGTGCCAATTGTATGTTTGATTTCGAATAACCAACATAAAGAATTTACAAATTTGATTACTCACTTTTATTTTCTGCATATAAAAACATAGACCAAGTCCATCAGTAGATAACTAAACTCTGCTAAGAGTACTTAAAAATTCGAAGTAAAGTTTGTTTTCTTGATGTCAAGTTGTTGATCCACTACATAATGTTGCCTCTAATGAGAAACAATTGACACTAGTATTATGAATTTCCTGATGATTTGTTTTCTCATGATTTGGTCTTTTTGTTGCAGAATTGACACATCAAAATTGTACTTCTTTTTGCTGATCAGAATCTTTGCAAAAATGAAGAAAGAAAACAGTGTTATGCTGAAAGATCGGGAGCTCCCTGGTCGATTGACTCGTGCTCGAGCTGCTGCTGCTTTGCGTGCATCTGGACAACTGCCCCCTTTGAAAGATCAATCACAGCAAAATCAAAATCAGAAGCAGTTATCCAGAGTCAATTCAAAAAGACCAGTTTCTGGTAATACATGTGTTCAGCGAAAAAAGAGGGCTGTTCTTCAGGATGTTACTAATGTTTGCTGTGAAAATTCATACAAGGGTTGTTTCAATTCAACTAAAATTCAGGTTTCATCCATGTCTCAAGCCCCAACTGTTTACAACAAGAAAATGTTTTATTTTAAATTATTCCTCTCGGTTAACTGTTTACTTTCTTTCCTAAATGAGATTTGTTGCTGGATTGATGTAACATTCATCGAAAGTTATTCTCATGCTCCTCACCTAACAGTGAATTTTTGTGACTGGTAGGCTAAGAAAAGCAAGATGGCTAAGACTGGTCAAATTAATGTGTCCAAAGTGGCGCCTTCTGTTACTGTGGAGCCACTACAATTTCAAGCTGGCTCCAAAGCGAAGAGTTTACAGGAAGCAACATTGAAATCAGAAGATACTATGTGCTCAATTAATTTGGACAACAAAGAACTTCTACGGTTGAGTGTTAATGACTGTAGCAAGGGCTTTAGACTGACTGAAAGTCAAATGTCTGGAGTATTTGCTCGTCCTTTGATTTCTCAGAAGAAAGGTTTTCCTGTCTATGCATTACTCAAATACAATTTTTTTACTTTACGACTCATAATTTGTTTGTAATATAGTATCTGAAGGGCTATCAATAGTTTTGTTGAACCTAAATCAGTTTCTTAAGTCTGAGATTGTTTATGTAATCAAACATCTTAATGTTTTCTCAGTGTATTATTAGTTTTTATGGTAGTGTTCAAGCAAATGTCTCTTGTAAAACATCAATGTTAGATAAAGAAACTAATATTTGCTTGATTAACAAAATGAGACACGAATTTGGTAAGTGAATCTGATTTCAAAATTAAATATAACCTTTTTATCAGCTGTATCATACTCTTTCACATATGGTAAGTTCTTATAAAACTGCAAATTGTTTCTATGAAAACTGACCTATATACTTTTGAGAAAATGCAACTCGTTGGTACACAGAAATTTAAAAATTATCTGTATTACTAACAATTGTTGCATGGAAGCCTATAACATTGACCATAATCTATCATCATGTATTTCATTATGATTTTCACCGGGTAATTGAATTTTTTCAAGACCTTAATAAAATAAATCATTTCACGGTTGATGTATTTTCATGTTCTCCTCAGCTTTTTTATTTATTAGTATTGACATGCATATACAAATTGTTGCAGATAAGAAAGGCAACCTTTCAAAACTTTTGACTGAATTGAAGGATCCAGAAATCACTAATATAGATGATGATTTTGAAGATACTCAATTGTGCAGTCTCTATGCTGCTGATATCTATGACAAGATGCGTGTTGTTGAGGTTTGTGCCATATTATATCAAGCCATTTCTATGCAGCAGTCATCTCTTTTACAATACAGTTATTTTCTCTGTCAAATTTTCTTGCCTTGAATGCAAGAAAATATACTCGTAACTTTTTCTGCCAGCTTTGTCTTGTATAGGATTTAACATTTGACTTCTTTCCAACTCCCCTATAGAAGAGAAAAGAAAAAGAGCCTCTAATATTATAAGATTTGCCTATCAACCCAACAGCTTGAATTGGAAGCATATCTTTAAGAAGATCACGCAGCCAATGTGAAAAGATTTTGAATAATATGAATGTTTGCATCAATTTAACTTCATGATTAGGACCACTAGATCCTATAAAGAGAACAAAATTTAAGGTTACAGTGTTAAGAATAATAGCCAACATGTTTTCTTTTACTTTCTGGCTACCCCTAGGCATCAATCACATTTTGAAGAGTTTTTGATTGTCATAATCTAATTAATACTAATGCCATTACTCTTAGTAATGGCTATTACTGAGCAACAACAGCCAAACATTATACCAATAGATGCTGATAAAATGCTGCAGTGGGTGTTAGGTGCTAAAATACCTTGATCTGAATAGGAAAAAGGTTGTTATAAACTTTGGAATGGGATACAAATAAAGTTTCACATTATTAGAACAAGAGGAGAAAAAATGATTTATAAGACACACATATTTCATTGGTTAGAAGAGTTTTGGTTGATGACCAAAATCAAAATTATGAGAGTGTAAGTATAAAGTGGACAATATCTTACTATTATGAAGTTGTGTGAGATTTAATAACCGATAAATAACAAGATATAATATAACACTTTTGTCGATAAATATATTCAATCTCAAACACAAATATTATAATATAACCCTAACAGTTAAAGCCCATATATGCTATATTAGAAAATACTGTGGTATACTGGCGTTCCTGCTTTCTAATAGTCCCTACAAAATGGAATGAAAAATTATCATTACCTTCTTGTCATATGCCTCTCTTAGATTTTGTTTCTTGACTTAATTAATTTGTCTAATATTTTGTATTCCAGCTTGCAAGAAGACCTTATCCAAACTTTATGGAGACAGTGCAGCGAGATATTACTCAAAGCATGCGTGCAATACTTGTTGATTGGCTTGTAGAGGTTTACCTCATTTAATTTTCTAATATAATTCCAAATGTTTGGTGATAATGATATAAAATTATTCTGTAAACAAGTTGTATTCTTAACTGTTTTTCTTCTTCTAGGTTTCTGAGGAATACAAATTGGTTACAGACACTCTTTACCTCACTGTGTATCTCATAGATTGGTTTCTCTCCAAAAATTACATTGAAAGACAAAGACTTCAGCTACTTGGCATCACCTGCATGCTAATTGCGTCGTAAGTACTCAAATTGAGTGCCTTCTCAGTCATTCTTCAATAATGCATATGTAATACAATTTGAAGTGTTTATTTTGTTCTCATTTTAATGCAATGTAAAATGTTTATTTTGTATTGTGCTTTTTCTGTGATTGAAGGAAGTACGAAGAAATTAATGCCCCTCGTATTGAAGATTTCTGTTTCATCACAGACAATACATACACGAAAGTGGAGGTGTGTCATGCTTCTTCAAAATGGTTTAAAACCAATAACTTGGAATTTGTAGTTTTTACATATCGAAAGTTAAAACTGAAGTTTTTATCAAATATAAATTGAAAACTACAATTACACACATGTGGAAGAACTAAGAACCTCAGTCTCTAACATGTTGTTCTTTGGCTTTTCAAATTCACTTTTAAAACTATGGATTCTGTTTATTGTCATAATCATTATGCAAAAGTCAATAACAATGGTACTCTACAACATTAATATAAGATTTTTGGACTGTTTGCAATTGTTAAATAATGTGAGTGGGCAGGTACTAAAAATGGAGAGTCAAGTGTTAAAGTCGTCTGAATATCAACTATTTGCTCCCACTATACAAACTTTCCTCAGGTACTTGTTGGCATTTTTATCATTAAATTATCAATATATCCATACATTAAAAAAAAATAATAAGATAAGAAAATTTCAATGCATTACTGAGAGATCCTTAATGCAACTATCTTTTCACATTTTTGGTTCTTAGGAGGTTTCTTCGAGCAGCACAAGCTTCATACGAGGTGAAAACATTCATATCAATGCTGCTTGGTCCGGAACATGCCAAATTGTATGGTTGAATATCATTGTATCACTAATCACTTGTTGAAAAATGTGCAGGCCCCCAACGTTGAATTGGAGTACTTGGCAAATTACCTAGCTGAACTAACCCTCATGGACTATAGTTTCTTGAATTTCCTTCCCTCTATCATTGCTGCATCAGCTGTGTTTCTTGCTAGGTGGACATTGGATCAGTCAAACCACCCATGGGTTAGTGTCTACTGTCTAGCAGTCCTATTTTCCTACATGTCAAGTTTTGTTAATTTAGGAAGCTAGCATACATATACTATACATAGCACTCATCATTGTTTATTGCAGAATCCAACCCTTCAACACTATGCTTGTTGCAAAGCATCAGATTTGAAAACCACAGTTCTTGCATTACAAGACCTACAACTAAATATTAGTGGCTGCCCTCTAACTGCCGTTCGCACAAAATACAGACAAGACAAGGTATATATATACACATCAACACCTCTTTCTCTACATTTATACAATTTTTTTTTTTGAATTTGACCATTTTACTATTTATCTTGCATGATTTTCATTATGGAATTGTTTGTACCAGTTTAATTGTGTAGCGGCTTTGTCTTCACCAAAACTGCTTGAAACTTTATTCTGAAGATAAAGATGATTGGCAAAGAGCCAATGCAAGGGACTCCTTAGTCCTAATTGATTCACAACGAAGAAATCCTTTTCCTAATCTAATCATCCCTTGGATATCTTGTGTATGTACATTATATGCCAAGTTGTCTGATATGTACACATCAAATATATTCTGTTTCTGTATGTACATTATATATGCTAAGTTGTTTGAGATAGAACTAGAACTCCAAGATGAAGCATATTATGAACTCACATGCTGTAGTGATGGCCATCGTTGGGTGTAACAATGAGATTGGTTGCCTTGCTTGCATGTGGCCTACTAGTGATAAAAAATAAGTAATTTTAGAACCATTTCTTTGTTAAACAATAGTATATGCGGGAACTTTACAAACGTAGATCGACTTTGCTTTGCGTTTGTTTGAAGTGGAAGTACAGGCCCAATAGGAAAGTGTGGGTTGGGCTAGCATCTTTATTTGTTCGAATTTGAAGCGCAGGTCCAATAGGAATTTTGGAATTTGATTTGTGTCAACTATAGGTGTATCCCTCTTTTTTAAAATTTGTTGCTTAGGCTTATGTATCAAATCCCTTGTTTTTCAGAAAGAAAATTTAATCTATCTTATTAAATACTTCAATTAATCACTTTTTTTTTTTTTTTTTCTTTCAATCATGATATAAAACATAATTGATATCACGGGTGGTTTATCTTAACTAGGGGAAGAAGAGATATTTTGTTAATATAGTTGGTTTGCCATTTGTATTCAAATATCAATGATCACTTTAAATATAAAGTTGTAATTAAAAATATTACTTTATTTTAAGATGTACATATTTGATAAGAAAAATATGTTTTTTAGTTATGAAAAGAATTTATATGTAAATAAAATGTAAAAATAAAGTAATTTACAATGATAATCAAAGAATAGAATAGTGGTAAAAGTGTCTTAAATAAAGTTGAATTGTTTATGTGAAGGTATAGTCGGAAGAAGAAGAAATGAGTATGAGTGTAAAAAAGTAGTAATTAAAAATATAGAGGAATTTGTAGGGACAAGAGAGCACAAAAATGGGGTTGGAGTCAACGGGTCTAAAGTCAAGAAATGAGGATACATATGTACTTGTGTTCTGGAGCACTAAATGAATTAACTTCCAAACTCCTTTGGTTTCTTCTTCGATCTCAACCTGCGTCTTCATGAACACGCCGCAGAAGAAGGAGATTCAACTGCAAGGGCCGCGCCCCCCGCCTCTCAAAGTCAGCAAAGACTCCCATAAGATCAAGAAGCCGCCGCCGCCGGAGCATAACCAACCGCAGCGAGAGCCCGTCATAATCTACTCCGTCTCCCCAAGAATCATCCACGTGAAGCCCGGCGACTTCATGGACGTGGTCCAGCGCCTCACCGGCGCTCCCCCCGCCGACGAGGCTCTGGGCGGACGCGGCGACGTCTCTCCGGCGGCGAGGCTGGCCTCGATCGAGAAGACCAGCCCGGCCGATAGGGCTTTCCAGAGCGGAGACGATGAGATGATGCGGATGCTCACCCAAGGAGTCGAGGTCGCTCAGTTTCCCGGGATTTTGTCGCCGGAGCCGGCCACCTTGCCGCCGATTCCCGCCACGGTGTTTTCGCCCGCGTTGGACGCGCAAACCACGGCCGCGTATTGGAACGACTGGTGGTCGCCGAGTCCGTCGGGGTTTCTCTCCGTTGCGGCGGGGTCGCCGCAGGCCTCGCCCAACGTGTTCAGCCTTTTTGACTACTAATAATCTGTTTTTTTTTTTTCTCTCTCTCTTTTTTTTTTTAATATTTGATTGGATATTGAAAATTTTAACATTAGTTTAGTGGCTCTTCTTTGTTGTGCCACTGTTTTTGTAGAATATATGTAGAAAAAAATACAAAGACAAAGACTTTTCCATTTGACTCCTTTGTGTTGGTGCTCACTCTACTTCCTCGCAACTACTAATTGTTATTATTATTAGTTGAAAACAGATAATCCATCTCGCCTTTCACAACTTAGCATGAACTTTATAACATTTCAAGACTATATATAGTGGGTAATTAGCAAACATGTGACAAATTGTATGTACTTTTATTAATTATAAAGATGTTTAATATAATCTTTTCATTTATAAGAACCCAACACTCTATTAAGAACTTTATAATACTCATTTTATTCAATCGGTTAATAGTTTAATTAATAAAACATTCATTTTATACTGAAAATAATTTAAAATATCAAAAACACACCTTTTTTTTATGCATATAAGATTGGAACATACGATGACAATGAGATTCAAACATAAAAATCATATTAATCTAACTCCACCGTTATTTATTTAGAGATAATGTTAAGAGTTTTTTTTGTTGAAACATTTAAATTAATAAAAAAATTACCCTCTTGATAATTTATAAATATTTTGTTATATTTAACATAGATCGAAGAAGTTTATGTATTAAAAAAAGAAAGTAAGAATTTCATTTAATTACATAATTAATGAAAGTATGCAACTAATTAACTAGGAAAAAAAACCTGGATTTAATACACGTTAGAAAATGAGGAAAACAGCCAATTAATAAGAAAGAAAGTAACTATGTATAAAACTTACTTTATACTTAATAATCAAAACTCAAATTTATAATAAGAACCAAACCTATTAAATTTACCTTTTTCTTTCTGATAATGCAAATTCTGTAAAGTATAAACTGAAGCAGCCCATGCTTGTAATAGGAGGAATTATTAAAACGTAATTTTAATTTGAAAAACTTAAATATCATTTTTTTATTTGCAAAGTTACATATAGTTGCCTTCCGTGAGTGTTAATGGACTAATATGAATCATAACTTAATTCAATCAACTCTCATATATATATATATTAAATGCGAATATTTATCTTCAGTAAAAGGATTTTTTTAGAAATTATTCTTCGACATGAGTATTTTTAAATTTTTTTTTAACTTTTTATTAGATTTATTTTTCTTATTCATATTTATCGACCTTTATATATTAAACATAAACTATTTATTATGCAATAATATTTTTAAGAACTTTTTTTCAATAAAAAATGTTTAGAGTTTCTTCTAAAATTTTTTATCTAATTCAATTTTGTTAATTATCATAGTTAATTACAAATTAAATTTTAATATTTTGAAATAAATTATTAATAAATTAAATAAATTTATTATAATATAAATTATTTATCATAAATTTAAAAAATATTTTTTTTTCAAAAATATAATTTATATGTTTAAAAGATCTATTTATATAAATTTAAAATATAATTTATATATTTAAATATAATATTTATTTGTATATATTATTTATTATAAATTTTAGTTATATATAATAAATATTGGAAAAAAAGATATTTAACTTCACTCTTTTTGCAAATAAACACCACAAACTTTAAATTTATCCCAATTGATCCTTAAATTTTATCTTGTTAGCAAATAAACACAATAAACTTTAATTTTATTATAATTTATTCTTAAGCTTTATCATTTTTACAAATAAACACCTTGATTGCACTTTTATCTTAATTATTTTTTTTAAGTCTCTTATACTACAATGAGATTAAATTACTGAGATAAAAAAATTATCAATCATTTATTTATTTATTTTAAATCAAACTTATTTATTAGTTTTTTTAGTACATATATATTAGTTTTATTTTCATATATATATAAATGCCATATAATTTAGAAGAAGAAAAAATCAAATAAAGACTTCTTTTTATTGTTTTTATATTTTTTTTCTAAACTCATATTTTTGTTATATTTTTTAAAAAATTATAGCATAAAAAGAAAAAAATATTAATGAATGATTGATATTTAGTTTAAATAATTTAACTTTAAATTAATAACATAAAAAATTTATAAAAATAATAAATTATCAAATGTTAAAATCAATTATGTTAAAATTAAAGTTGAAAGTATTTATTTGTAAAGGAAATAAAATTTATAGATTAATTGAAGCAAAATTAAAATTTATAATATCTATTTATAAATCTGATAAAATTTAAAAAATGATTAGGAAAAAATAAAAATTCATGATGCCTATTTGTTAAAAAACCAAAATTTAAAATTTAAGATGATTGATTACTCTTTTTCCTTAAATATTTACTCTTTTCATGACATAGTTAAAATAGTAGTTTATCTTAACTCTTGAGAAATTCGAGCACATTTTCAATTGGACAAAGGAGATATGGGTATTTGACGATTATGATCTAATAATAAATGAAGCAATTATATCATGTGCGTATAGTTTTAAGGCACAAGCAACTGAAAATTCAATATATAATATAATAATTTAAGTCTGTCAAAATTATTTGAAGTTTTTAAAATAATTGATCTAAACAAACATTTCTCATGCAAAAACTATCATTAAGAGTGTTAAGGTAAATAATATAGTTGAGTAGTTATGTAAAAAATTATGCCATTTGGTAATAAGTTTTAATAAATTTGAAATACAAAAGTGAAATTATTTTAATATGCCTAAATAAACTTTTCCAAATAACTCTAATAGATTTAGAATTGCTACTGTTTCCAAATGGATTTATTCTCACTTCACCCCTACTTTATATTTATCTTTAACAAAACTATACTTTTATTGCAAATATTGTTGAGATACATAATAAAAATAAGTTTTGGTCCTATATTTCCACAAAATATTGTTAAAATAGATCATGAAAACGTGTTTCTATTGTGTATGTCGACAGCTCAGCCAAAGAAAAAGTGTAGGTCAACAAATAATGTCAAGAAATATTACCCAAACTTTTTTATTTTTCATTTTTTATATTGTATATCTGGACATAATATGAATTAACTTCTATTGTATATTAATCACAATAGAAACATGTTTTATTAAGAATTTTTTTTGTAAGAAAAGTAAAAATTAACATGTGAACAATGTTATATATATATAAAAATAAAATAACATGTGAAGAATGAATTTAGCAAAAAAAGATGCGAGAATAACGTGGACCTTAAATAAGATTGGAAGAATTTTGACTCAGGCCCACACTTGTAGAAAAAAAGATGAAGGCCCACACTAACTCTGCTGGTTTATGAGTTAACAATTTTTTTTAATGTTAAGTATATATTAATATATGAATGGGTTAGATTAAAAATACACCTCACTCTTTTTAATTTGTGTTTTAGATGTGAGTCCTTATATTATACCACTCCCTATTTCGGATATAGTGGATCTCGGCTGGAGAGGAGAGTGAGAGATTGTGAGGGTACGATTTTTATCTCAATTAATTTAAAGATTAAATATAAAATATAGAAATAAACTTATGGTGTATTTGGTTGACGAATTTTAAAATTTAAAGAATTTAAAATTTTTAAAATTTAAATTATTTTAATTTTATTTTTTATTATTTTTAAATATTTTGTTTGAATAGGTCAAATCAAATTTAT